GAGTTCTTCTAGCTTGCAGCAGTCAAATCTTAGTTAGTAAACTTGTTATTGGAATGATCCATTGTTGAGTGGTTAATGAGTGTGCATAATAATAGATAACATTAGTAGCAAAAGGTCATGGGCACTAGACTTATTTAAAATGCACATTAAATACAGCAAACTTCAATTAGATAACTTGGAGCCTACATAGATTCAAATGTTTACAGAATTAGATTTTGTAGAAATCTATGATACATTTATAAATTTATGCTGTTTATTTAGCTGTTTACCATAACATTTGTGTCACTCCAGTTAACAAATTAACAAACTCTGTCCATTAATGCCTCGAGCAAAATAATTTTTACACTTGAGCAAGGTTTGTAATGCAATGATTTACAGAAAATAAAAAGTACAGGATACGCTAACGTTTCTTTCATAACAACGATAATTAATGAAGTGTTTAATTTGTCACAAGGGAACTGCCTTTTTGACATATACTTGAATCATTATTTTGCCTACTGTATAGTAGCCAAAAAAAATAAGGCAATATCGATCGTTAAACATGGTCTGCCGCAACATGACTGACAGCTAAACTTCCTTTAGAAATGAAATGGTAATTATATTTATTAAGCTGCTTCTTGGTTTTCAACTACTCTTCATTTCTGTTCTTACTCGTTGGACAGCCAGAGTGGATTTTATTTAAGGCAAGCTTACTGAACTGTAAGAAAAATTGTACTGAAGAGGGACACTCTTTTTTTTTTTTTCTATAAGAATGTTATTTTTCCCGCCCAGGCTGAATATTCTTATTTTTCTGCCGATTTTAGGCTGAAAATATTCTTGTATTATTCTTAAATTATAGCTTATGACATTTCCGTTTTAGAATTTATTGGGGTATCAAGCACGTGCTCCATCGCTTTTCGATGCAGTCAGCGAGTTCAAGATGTCACGTCAAACGACACTTGGCCGTTTTGGCTCTTGGTTTTTCGCCGTTCAGAGAAAGGAATAATTCTATACGGTTAAGTTCAAAATCTCAGCCTCGGCTTTATTCTTAAAATATTCTTAAAATTTCGCAAATTTCAGCCTCGATATTCTTATAAAATATATTCTTATAAAAAAAAAAGAGTGTATGTAATAGCGCCATTAAGTCAGTCATAGAAACTATCTAATTTTTGCGTTTTAAATGATCAATTGACGAGAAAATTTTAGGCATTTAGAGACTACTAATTATTTATGGTCAGGTAATGGAACTATGAACGCTTCCACACTGAAAATCATAACCCAATTACGTTCATTGTCATAGTTTGAGAAAATTCTAAATCTGATTGTAAAAGAACCGTTAAAAGTCTCATGGCCAATTTAATGGGTGATGTTTTGCTTTTTAAGAAGATGTTCTTTAAGTTCATTCGTGACCGTCAATTTCATTGATGATCTGAACAGCATGTTAGGCCTAAGTTTATTTTGCTTATTGTTAGTTTACTCTTTTATGCAACCTTTTTCAGTTAAGGTGGATTTATCCTGTCGCGTAATTATTACTTAAAATTTGCGCGCAAAAATACAATTAAGGTAATGTATGGAGTTCACGCGTCCAAGTAAAAGTTGAACCTTCCTCGACTTTTACGTTTATGCTTGGCCTCTACTTTGCCTCTACTTTGCACACGTAAATCTTACGCGCGTACGCACGTAAAAAAATAACGCGACAGTGGAAATCCACCCTTATTCGTATTTTGCACGCTTCCGTTTCGAACCAAAAGTTAATTCGGTTCCTGTACTGAGTTCAGTACTTAAATTCTACTATCGTATTCCTCATTTCACTAAAACTAAGACTAAACTAAGATTATAGTTTCTTTTCCTTGATCTTCGCAGTCACTGAAGAACTTAACATCCCGTGAAATTATTTACACCTACGCAATTGCCAACAATTCAGCTGAGAGATCAGACCTTCACTTCTTCAAGGATGGAGATTGCTCGCTTTTTATTCGCCGTCTGGGTGATGGCGGAAGTATCTAAATCCACATTCTTACCTAGAGTTTTGTAATATCTTTACGAATATCATAGAAAAAAAACACAACTTTTTTAAATTTACAGTCATTATTAGTGACATATATTTATATTTGCGTGCATATAATTCATCGCGAAGCCGAGGATTATAAATTCGTCGCGCGTATGAATACCGCGTGGATCGTAGCGGCCTGCAAACTCGGGTAATAGCTGTAGCATGCGTTCCTGAGGGAAGGTGGGGTCTGCAAACAGGCTATGTGTTTTGACAAGAGCTTGGTTTTGATAACAAAACAGGTCAAAACAATTACGCAACATGCAAACGAAATTGGACGAAGATTGGCTGCTACCATGATAGAATTTCACAACTTCTCCCTGAGATGCTACTGAACGACAGGGATAGATACAGTAAATACCATGAGCAGGGTTATCTTCTAAACTGGCAAAAGTGGAAGGAATCGATTCACAGGTAGGGTAAATTATCAAACGCAGAAAAAAGTGCTATTATCTTAATTTATATAGCCCAATAATAATAATAATAATAATAATAATAATAGAGCACATTTTTCTGCGACAACCTTTCTCTCGAGATAGCTGTATATAAATTTACGCTGTTTATTTAGCTGTATACTATAAAATTTGCGTCACTCCAGTTAACAAATTAACTCCGTTTCGGAGTAGTCATGACTCCATTATCAAGGAAAAATGTTTTTGATAATGCAAATTACCGCATTTAAAGCGATGTGGCGCGAAGATTAACATCACAGGGTGCGAAGATTATGAAAATACTTTCGCAAGAATAGTCTGGTTGCAATTTGAGATTTGGCTTTACGGTTCTTATGAAAATCATTTTGTACACTAAAAAGCCAAATTTGTTCCTGCATTTCTTACGCACTTCGAAACGTTTCAGCAGGTCCTGAGGGATCGTCCCGTGCACGTTCTTGTAATGTTTGGCAATGGCGAGGAAGTGTTGTTTATGTCCTTTTACACGATTGTATAAATGTCCGCGCGCGTAACCTACATAGCCTGCATCACACAGGTCACATGGGAAGTTATATACTACACACTGTTCATTTACGATCGGTGGCTTTGCTTCTTTCACATTCAGTTCTTGTTCAATTTTTCGGTTAGCAAACACAGGCTGGATGGTGGTGTTTACTTTTAGGCGCAGTAACAATATCTGCTAGCTTCTGCTGAGATTTGGTCCGATGGTAAAACCACTCGAACCCTGTCATCCGTCTCTTTAACTGGTGATAATGGTTGCTGCCGGTCACAAACCTTTGAGTCAACGAAACTTTTGATGTTAGAGTTAACGAGGTGTTTGGGGTACTTCAAACGCGAGAATGCAGTCTTCAATCGATTGCATTCGTCTGAGAAGTAAAGTACCCTAAACACCTCGTAAACTCTACCATCAAAAGTTTCAAAAGTTTTGTCGTGGTCATTTGCGTGTCTCGGACGTTTTGCTCGACGGGGCAAGAAAAAAGAGAGACTGCTCGTAGTCTAGAAAAAATCTCGATTTGCTTGAACAGGGGCCGCGAGGAATCGGTAGGTAATGATGACGTTTCTATTGTTCGCACCCGCAAGTACGAGATGGTTAGGATGACATAAAGACAGAAAATCCCGAAGGGACCGCTTAGGTAGATTTTGTGACGTTTACGCAGTCATACTTCGATTCTCTTTTGCGTTATGTGTTATCATTGACATTCTGAGGAGAAGTCGGTTTGAAAGTTATGGACCAAAAGACACTCGTTAAGCGCAGATGAAGTTATAAGATGCGTATAACTGTGTATATTATAAACACTTGGAGAGTTTGCCAGGCACGAAGACACGAAGGTACACGAGTTCACAAATCTTTGATTGGAAACCTTTTGAGTGAGTCTTTCTTTCTCTTTGACCAGAATAAGACTCAGCCCCAAACAAGCAAGACGAGTGAACAACGGCTAGCTTATCACTAGCAGAACGATGGACGATTACAGAAATTCGCCGACAATCAAATTCTGTGCTGACTTATTGCCTGCTCACAGATGTCCTTCCGCTATAAAGTTTAAAATAAGACTAGAATGCGCGAGCGCGAATTGATCAAACGTCCCTTTAATTTCTAAGGCTTACTTTCCGGCAAATCAAATGAACTGAATGTGAAAAGTGAAAGAGAAATAGCGAAAAATTCAACTTCTAATTAAGTCTTTTCTTATGGTTTAGAATAAACTATTGAAACTATTCTCGAAACTGAGAATGTTTTGATCAAAGCTGTGTAAATCGAACTGAAACTGTGCATGGAACTTTGCGTTTCCTGTATTTATCTCACCTATTGTATGGAATATGTGTGAAAATCTTCATTATGAATCGGTATATTTCAAAGAGCTACACAACGAGCAAGAATACTATTGACCGACAATATACAGAGCGGGGGCAGCTGTAGTGTCAACTATTACTAGTAATAATAAGGGTATGGGTTAGGTTGAGATAACTATCGGACACCTTTGTCCGGTTCCTCGAAAGATGGTTAATTTTAATCTAGGATTAAGCTAAATTTTAAGCAAGGTTCTTCATGTACAAGAACATGTAACTCGAGATTACAAAATATCGTTGTGCCGGCTTTACTACGAAAAAAGAAATGATAACACAAAATGTTACTCTAAGTAATGCATAGGAAGGTAAATACAAAAAGTGGAACAAAATTTTAATCCTTGATTAGCGCTAATCGGCCTTCGAGGAACCAGACCCTGATTCACAAGAGGAAACGTTTTTAAGCCATCAGCCTGGACACCTTAGCTCACGGGAAGTGACCAGATGGCCATATAGACTTCCATCTTACAGTGAACTATGTTATAAGTCATCAAGAACTCCCTGCCGACAAAAGCTAAGCGAGCTGCAGTGACTGTACCATTGTTTAATATACATAACAGACTTGTATAGGTTTGTATGTACAATTCTTCCTTTCTTTCCCTCTATCCATCCATCTACTCATCCAGTCCGGCAGTGACCCGGCTCTTGCTAGCCTTGCATTCATTTCTTTTTCTTTTATCTTTCCTTCTTTCGTTCATTCATTCTCAGTCTTGCTTCTTTCCTCACTTCTAGCGTCCGTTCAAATCGCACGCCATTCCCTTCCCCTTTAAACGTCTGCTATGCAGGCTAAAAGTTGGCGTTGGCAATTTCACGCTAATTTTTTTTAACTATTTGATTTACTTCCCTTAGCCTTGCCTGTCGCTGTGCCGAAAGAGCCCTGCAAAAAGGTTATAATTACTTTGGTCTGCAGTTTTACGGAGAGTGTTGGAGCGGACCGTTCGCCGAGTTTAATTACAGTAAAGACGGAGTGTCAGACAGATGTATCATGAATCTTGAACAGCCAATTGCAATTGCAACCGCTTGCGTACAAGCTCAAGATCAGGAGTGTGTCGGGCAGCAGCATACTAACTACATCTACAAACTGAAATCAAGTGAGAACCATCAGTTGGTGGATGGTTCGTAATGATCAACAGGCACTGAAACAGCCGCTCTGAAACAGCTTCCTCGTTTAGTTTTGAAATTTCTTCGTTTGTTTTGGTAGGAAACCAGGTAGCCGTTTTGCTCGTAACTTGCCTGGATATCCCGAGTTTGAGTAGCCAATCAGAGCCCGCGAAAAACGCTATCCAGTGTTAAATAGTATTTATCAAGAACAAGTTACAGCGTCCGCCATGTTTCTAATGTGTTTTCACACGAGATGCTTGGTACCAGTGCCTGCTGACTCCATGATCCATATGTGGCCAGCATGGTTTGCCGTGCCCTTGAAATGTTTAAGTAATATGGGCCAGGTCAAAGAAACTACTTTTGGCTTCGTCAGTTGACCTAATAATAATATTATATGGAACAGTCAACGGCGAACTCAAATTCATTCAAAATCGCTCAAAAAAGCGCTTTTGAGGCAAAAGGACGACTATACACCACAGGTAAGGTAATTTAACGTTTATTTATCATTGATTTATATACATAGTTAGCGATATATCGCTATAGGTGAAGCAAACGGTAAATCCAGTACATTTACTATAAAATAACAATCGGCTACACAAACAGATTGTGTGGGCGCCCTGTGGTTATACCGCAAAAGGCCGCTCGATCTTCGATCTTCACAGATCTGGTACACTTGAAATGTTCCTTGTATCTGTGCTTTACGATCGTATATGTTTAAGAATTGATGTTTTTAAAATAAATTGAATATTCTGAATATTCTGTTTATAATATAGTTTCTTTATGTGTTCTACTCGATAACATTTGTTTTGCGGAACACTGACTCGATGCAACGCGAATGATTTTGTTCATTTGCTGATAACACGGGACGAAGAATTGTAAGCAATTGAAATTTATGCTCAATTAAGGATAATCTTTAGACTCATACGTTGTGTTTTTGTCAGGGGTCAGGTGCTATTTGTAGGTATTTCTGGGTTTATATAAGGCGAACTAGAACAGAAACAGAATGTTTGTTTACAAATTTTATTTGCCGATCGGTGACTGCTTTGTTAGCGTGGGTACGACCTCGTAAAAATACACGTCGGTAAATGTTTGTTTCAAAGCAGGACAGGGCTGTAAATCTTATTCTTATCGGCTGCAACATATATCTGAGGAGTAGCAAAGAATAAACTTGAATTATGTGGATATATAATTTCAAACTAAATGCCCGGAAATACTCTCGCGTCGCGAACAATGAATTTGAATTTTGTAAATTTACTTGCGAGCATCTAACTCGCTTCCGACTGGTTTAAAAACAATCAGCTACTGTCAGAACTCACACATGTGCATTATCGTGAACCAGTCCCTTTAACATGATAATCATTGCTACTCAGTCCATGATAACGAAATGACATTCTGGGGGTGTTTACAGTGAAGATAAGAGACCAACTCTCATTTCTGTCGAGAGAGGCGCAAATTCACTTGATAGTGAAATACAGATGAATCAAACCGCCGTCCGGTTAGCTCCAGCCCTGGTCGTTCAAATGTTGGATAGAGCTATCGACCGGATGAATCACTATCCAGCGGATAAGTATTAGGGAAACCAATTGCGTTATCCACTGGATAGACTATTATCTGGTGGATAGCGTTATCCACGGTTTGAACAACCGGGGCCAACTGGATAAGCACCGGTCCACTGAGCCAGAAGCCGGGGTTTCAAACCCAGGCCAGACCAACTCTCGATCAGGATCTTTAAGTAACTGACGAGAAGTGCTGCCTATTTAAGGTCATCTGTAAACGGTTAGACTTTCTAGTCCCCAGTCTTGGGATAAAAAGAAACCTTAAGCCTCGTCTCACAGTTCTTGTTCATATCTTGAAATGCTGTGGGAAGTTAAAGAACCCAGACACTGTTTGTAAAGAGTAGGCTGAGTAGCGGACCCATTACCTTCCACACGAATTTCCCGGAAACCTTTTGAAAATGGTAAACTTTGAAATGAGCAGACGTTATGGTGAAAGCAATTTCAATCCAATATGTACATGCACAGAGTGTTATTTATACTCCTCAATAACACAAAATGGTGGTCGCAGGAGCTATTATACCTCAAATTACTTTGAAAGCCGCAAAGCATTCTGCATTCTAGTTAGTAGTAGATCAACTCTTTTAACCCTTTAAAGGTCAAATGAACCAAAAAATTGACATATTTTCTTTTGTCGCTTTAACTTCACCAAACACTAAAAAGAACCATCCTAAGTGAGATTTGGGTAAAGATTTTTCTTCCCAAGCCTTTATAGAAAGATAAAAGATCAAAATCCGAGCATTTCCGAAAACTTCACGAAAACGTTTCTGAAATGGCCGCGTGATAGACTGGAGACTACGTGACGTCAATGTTGGTCTTTCAGGGCGGAAAACCGTTCTGCGCTAGCTTCTGCGCATCCCTTACCGCCTTCTTGTCTGTCTCGTTCTGTGAGAGTTCTGACTGAGACTGAATGAAATACACGAGGTGCGAACGTTTGCTCCTTGTAAAGGATTTTTTTGTTGTTTTTGGCGTTGTTGTTGCTTTTTCGTCACTTGAAAATTACTTTGGATTCAGACCAACCATTGTTAGGGTAGAAACAGATCATCCGTCAGTCTGAGGAGGAATAAAACGTTTTGAACATTTCCAAAGAGGTTTGTATTTCTCTGATAATTGTGCGTTCGATTTGTGAATTGATTTTGTGTCCAGTTCTTCGCCTTCTTTCGCCGGACTGAATTAAAACCCGCTTGTATTCTGTTATTAGTAGTTATGGTTAGTTTTTTTACATGCCCAGATTTATTTACCTTTGCAGAACCTCAACCAGCTTTATCCTTGTCTTATGTCAAAGAACCGTAATGCTAACGCTTGAGTGAACAAACTTGAGCGCTTAAAACTTCCTCGGAACTTTAGAAGAGGCCCTGCCAGGGTAAATTCCGACAAGCGACATGACCCAAAAAGTAGCGACAGAGCCTAAAACGAAATGGCGACAAGCGACAACCTCCCTCGGCCAAATTGCGACAGTGACGGCAAAGCCGAGAATATGCGACAAAGAACGGTGGTTTGGCTAATTTATCACCAGTCTGAGTGCCAAGAAGAAGTAATTTTCGTCAATTTTCCTTGCGCTTCAGAGGTTGTCTCTCGTCAGGGAGTTTCAGTTGACCCTCCTGAGCGCGTCGCGTTGGCCCGTCGCGTAGTCTTCATTTACGCAACCCCGCACAACTCCTGGGAGACCTTGGGACTAGGTTGTCCGTCAAATAGCTTAATTTACGCACGCTTTACATCTCTTGTAATCACTACTTTCATATAGACCATGACGCACCTTGTTTTCCCCCTCAGAATTTTGCATAACCAATGTTTCCAAATTCTCCAGGGTATTACAGTCGTCCCAAGAGAAATCGAAAACAATGGTTATGCAAAGTTTTGGGGGGTAAACAAGGTGAATTATGGTCTATGTGAAAATGGTGAATACTGAACTTGTTTCTCATATCCTTGTCGACCTCTGTCGGACGGTGACGACGGTGGAGAGACCAGGGACCAGGTAACTTAAGCACCGCACAGCGTAGACCACCGTTAACCGGCCTTCACGTACGATTTATCAGGTCAGTTAGTCTTAAAATGTTGAACGTGGATCACTTAGGGTGTGCTGACAGTGTTCCTTTAAGCGAATCCAAAAACGGATTTCTGATCCGAGATTTGCCGGATTTCCCGGTCGAAAGGAACGTGAAATCCGTAATTGGATTTGTGACCTTGGTAACCTTTCGCAAACGCGTGCAATATGCATTACAGCCTGAGCCTCTCAAGAAAATGACATGTTTTCTACTGTTTGACAAATTATGCGATTATACCGTACAGAATTTTGTGGTCGGCAGTTCGAATAACGATGATGGAACATAAACAGATCAAGAAAGTAGCATGTTAAAGTTGAAAATTATCTAAAGGTTGTCGGCTCAGTTTGATCCAGTTTCGTAGCTCGGTTTTCTATGTAACACGATCGAGTGCCTATCGCGTCCAAGAGCGAGTCTGTAGAAAGATAGCAGTTATTTGTCCCTTTTACTTATTTGTGTTTTTAAGCAATCTTTAGCGACAAATGGTCAGCACATGGACATTTTACTGTACCACCATGAACAATCTTCTAGTGTTTTCAGATGTTTTACGGCAAATGGCAGCAATTAGGAAACTCTACGGGAATACTTCAACTGGAAGTACAGCTGGATCATCTGACTAATTTCGAATCCACTGTGAATGGAACAGCGTAGATGACTAATCCGTTAATCTGGATTCGGATTCTTCGGATTTCAAATCCAAAGTGACTCCTTTTTCAAAAAGGATTCACCAGATCAAAAATCCGAATTTCGATTTGCCGAAAGGAACGTGAAATCCGTTTTAAGATCCAAATCCGTTTCTGGATTCACCGAAAGGAACACACCCTTAATTGTGAATGGCGATGTATAGGTGTTCTATACGCGAACGGTTAACTGAGAAATTGCTCAACTGTAATGGTTTCTTTAAAACCCATCGCTATCCCCCTTTTCTAAAATTCCGAGAAAGACAAAGAATTTTCGTTCAATTTCCGACAGCGACGTGAAGCA